TTGCATTACAAATTCCTGCTGATTTGGTAAATTAATTACAGTATTCTGAGCAGCAGTGGCACTCATTGACATGAAAAGTGAATCTTAATAAAAACTCAAGACACACAAAAAAAAAGGTGTAGAATAAGTAATCTCTTCCAAGATATTAGATTTGCAGTATTATTTGGATCATAGTAAAAGATACACTAGAGTAGTTTTATATCATTAAACATAATTTGTACTTTTTAACTTGCTCTCATTCTGTTCTTCACATTTTACTCAACTGCAGAATATTAGAGTCATGCTTTGTCATACTCATTTTTTGGGCGTTTTAGACAAGTAAACAGATTTATCATTGAGATAATTTTGTTAGATGTAGCTTTTAGCAATAAGCTTACATTAGATAAAATCCATACAATGACTAGCACTCAGCTGGTCATGAGAAGCTTTTGGGGAGGGGAGGGGGGGGGGTGTTTGTTTTCATTTTAAAAAATTCAATGCTGGTCTCATATTTCTGAACATGGAAAAATGTTTTAAATATTTTTTTTGGTGTGTGTATATAATTGAGGTATTAACACTTTTCTAGTTGTGATGTACAAAACAATTAAACAAGTTGTGTTTGAATAATGTACACCAATATGCCTGCAACTCAAAAATATTTCATGAGCTAAAGTTCATTTTTCTTGTTAAGTAGACATGGTCTTAACTGGTATTTTAGTCTTGTTATGCAATTACCCTCAGCTAAACTTTTCAAATCTAAGAATTAGTTTACTGTAAATGTAGTTTATGCCAAGTTATATTTTATGACTATACACTTAAATGTTAAGAATCATATTTCCAGGAAGAATGACTACATTACCTGCATAAGGTAAAATGTCCATAAGAATTTTGATTTGTTCAAGATTTTGTGTTCCTTTTGAAATGTCAACTCGCTTGGTACTTAAACACAGAAATATCGAGTCCCGAAAAGCCTTTATATTGTTAATAAAAATATAATTTCCATTCAGTTATTGTTTCGTTTTGCTCAGAAGTTGATTATGTTTCTGATTAAACAGTTTGTAGTTTCATTTGTTAGTAACAGTTTAATGTGGACTTGTTTTGCATGTTATGAGTTATACTTGGCATTAGAATCATTAGTGTAGATTGTAGAAGAAGGCTTGTGCACTTGAAATATCAAGCTACTGGAGTAGTAGGCTTGTGTGTTAGAAGAAAAAGTTACTATTAGTGGTAGGTTTATGGGTCTTAGAAAGTAAAAGTTAAAATTAACAATATAATAATAGGTGTAAGGGGTTGAAGTTATAGTTAGCAGTAGGCTCAATGTTTGTTAGAAGGAACAAACTTTAATTAGCAGAAGGCTTAAGCTTGAAGAATTGAGTTGTAGTTGACAGTTAGCTAATGTGTGTTAAGAGATGTAAACTACAGTCAACAGTAGCCCCATTTGTGTTAGATGACACAAGTTCTAGTAGTTCTAGATTCGTGTATAGTACAAATATAAACTACAATAGTTATGTTATGAAGGTACAATCTGTACTTACAGTTAGCTGTAGATGTGTTGTTACCAGTTGCTTGTTGTGGTTAGAAGACTTAACTTTCAGTGTTTATCAGTAACACTTTTTTAAGTCTGATAATGATGTGAATGAACATAGCAAGTTATGTATTGTTGAAACAACATATTTTGAAAAATATTGTTAGTTTTGAGTAAATCTTGGAACGTTTTTTTTTTCTATATACGTTATGGTATAATTAAGAAAGGCCCAAATGCATTTTGAATATGTAGTGCAAGTCATATCTCAACTATTCATCAGAAAAGAAAAAATAGGTCAGACTAATGTACAGCTTAGTCAGTTTAAGTCTTCATTGTTTCATAAGTGAAATGTAGCCATACAAGTACAGTGCCTCTACACACACTTGGTTTCCAATTTTGGAGAGAAGGAAACCTGCAGTAGTCGAGACAGGTATGTGTAGACTTGCACCTTGTGCTGCCAACAGTACATGTATTGATTTAAACAGTTTACTTCAGAGTCAATGAAAAAAGACTGGTTTTGCGTAATTCAGGTTTGTCGGTGTGTGGGAAAGTAGGACTAGTTCATAGAACTGAATAATTACTTATCTGACTTTGTTAAGAAATAATAGTTTCTGCACTATACTTCAATTGATCATGTTATCAAAAATAGTTCTTGTTTAATTTTATATATATAGTTGTTTTTCCCTTAGCTCTCTTCACTGTGCATCATTGTTATTGAATTAAATATTGTACTGATAACTTTTTTGTTAAACTAGTAAATTGTGTATGTTGTTAACCTAGTTGAAAATTGGGTGTTTTGGCTAATGAGATGAAAACAAGGATAAATATCTCCTCACTCACAAGAACTCACAGTGCTTGGATTTTCCTGAAAAATATCTTAGTTGGTTTCATATCTTCACAAAGTAGAATTGAAGTCAGATGATGTATTTAATTAATTTTTGGAAACCTTATTAATTAAGTCATGATGAAAACATGGGACATTGAAGATAATAGATTGTTTACTTTTACTTTTTCCTTTTAAGACCAAGAAATACAAGTGCAAAGTCTCATAAGAATATTATACATCACATGTCACTACATGCTCCTCAGTGCTGGAATTAAAAATGTGTGGCCAAAACTCTGTGTCTCCATGAAGTTATGCATAATATTATTGTTGCTATGATAAGTAAACCAAGAAAAACACATGAGATACAAAGAATATATTTGAATACAACAGTCATAGTAATTGCTAATTTAAATAAATTGCACCAAATCTTTTACACCTGTAAGCTACTGAAAAATGTAACTAATTATCTAAATATTCTTTAATTTTCTTGTCCGTTTATAGTTTGGTTAATTTGCAGTATTTTTCATGACACAAATGTAATTGGCATGTTTATAATGATTATGATAAGATTTCAATGCATATTTGATGTACAATATCCCAATCGTGTCTTTGTTTTCAAGCACATAGCTGTACAATCTGGGAAATGACCATGATGAGTATCAAACCTCAGTTTTTAGAGTTATAAGCCCTCATGCTTACTGCCGAGTTACCAAGAAGAGTTCTAATAATCCCAAAATGTTTGTTTCACATGAAAATTTTCATTTTACTGATGTGATTGACTATTGTGGTGAAAATCCTTAGTGTTGCTATTCACATGAATTTAGAGCTGGACAATTGACTTGATTAATTGATTTAATTAATATTATAAAAATAATCAACTAATGAAAATTAAAATTAGTGATTATGATGATTACAACTATCCAAGTACTATCCTTATCCAATTATTCTCAATATTTTTGGTTAATTTAAGGATGTTCATCTTAATTAGTGTAACAACTTACAAAAATAATCAACTAATGGAAATTAGTGTTTCAGGTTATTACTATTTTTCCAACTATTCAAGTCTCATGAGAATAATCAGGTAATGAGCTCAACAAAGAATTGGTTAGCAAATTCCTCTAATTGCCAAGCTTTACACGTGATACTGTTAATATCTTTCAAAATCTTGTCTATTGTTTACCGTACTTCTCGTCCATCAGTTGATATTGTTTGTCTGTGAAAATTAAAATAGAATTATAGACCAGAAGATTAATTACAAATATTCTTAAGAGGTAAAGAAATGCTTTCCTATGGTTTCTGCAATATAATATTTGAATCCCCTATGCAAGTTATAATCACTTGTATATATACCTACTTGTACACGAATATATTGTATGAATGTTTGTTAAAACGAGCATTTTCGAATAAAAATTTTATCTAATATTCTAGTCTTAAATATTATGATTTAAGGTTTAAAAATAATTTACATACAAAGAAACTGTTAGTCACTTAAATACATGTTGTATAATATATTTTAATTCACATATACATTTCTTTGTAATGCTACAAACAATGTGACTTAAGGATTTTAGGTAAAAGAAGTGATAATATTTATAGCTTTATCTAGTGTTCTAGGAAATCAAAAGTACTGTACAGTCTTTTAATGTAAAAGAAAATGGTGGTGGTGATATACCAAGTACTGTTACTGCCTAAGCCGTTAATCATTTATCTTGTGTATACGCAAGCTGTTCAAAGTTCAATTACTTTGGCAATTGAACTATTTGGGTGTAGTGGCATTCCTAATTTTTCTATAAGGGTGAGTGCTACATGCGCGTTTTCTTCTTATCGATTTTTCGTTTAATATATATAATACTTCTTAATTATTGCTAATTATTAATAATTACAAAATAAAATAAGTTAACTGTTTTATAATTTATTTATAAAGTAAAGAATAAAATACTTATAATTTAGTTGTAGGATTTTCTTGTTAACATTTTACTGTAGTAAAATAGATAGAAAATATAGATACATTTTTTTAAGGAAAGAAGCTCTTAATTCAAACTATTTCAGAAGCAGATAAGATCTCATATTACAACCTTTCAAAGTAAGTTGGGAATACTTAATTTGTTCTTTAATCTAGCATTTCATTTTATTTAAAATATGTAGAGGTTTAAATGATGAGTTGTTACAAAGCAACTTTTTTTTTCACCCTCAATAATACTTCTAGCTTTTATTTGTGTCTTATTTTGAATAGTTAACATTACCATAATAAGGTAATAATTACCATAATCAGGCAACAGTAAATGAAAGCATATTGTCTCAAGTTTAATACTCAAACATTTCTACCCGTACTTTTTTGTTTCTGTGCAATGTTTAAATTTGCCAATTACTACACCACACTTTTTTTTTCAGCCAGAAAATTCTTATTTCTGTGAATGTATGTTTATTCTGGCATGTACAGTTTTGTTAATTTCATTACATACATAGCCAAGTTGATTTGTATAACCATGTTTCATCCAAGTATGTGATGTAAAAATTTTCACAAGGTTGCACTTGTACTGAACATGCATGCCAGATAAGAAAGGTGACTGACTATTGCATACACATTGGTATTACAAATACTTTTAATAGGTGTGTTTTAATTCTTGAATTTTAATGTAATTAAATTTTTCCTTTTTTTTTCTTTCTTAACTTGTAGTAATTTGATCTACTACAGGCAATTGAAAGACAAACTGGAATTACAGTATTACCTTTGAGTGCTTCCCTTAAACAGGTAAGATGTGTTGTAAAGATAACTCTCATTAATTTACAGGTATTATGTGTCATTAATGATCTAACATGTTTAATGGAGATGTCATGACTGGTATATATGTAATGCTTAATGCATATGTCACAACTGGTAAAAGTAATGTTTAATGTAGACATCATAACTGATATATAAGTAACTTTGCATAATGATATCTAGTGTATTTATTTTTTTTAATTTATTTTAATCTTGCTCTTCTAGGTTTCTATCTGGTAATATAGGAGAAATAATAATTACGAATCTGCTTTAGTGTTATACGTACTTTGTGTTTGTGTTGAATCATAAGATAAAATTCTAATGTTTAATGATTTTTTTTAACAGGGTAGAAATGGACTCAAGCAAAGTTTGGGCTCCAGATCCTACTGATGGCTACAGACTTGGGAAGATTGTTGATATTGGGGAAGACACTGTAACAGTAGAAACCTTTAAACCCTCAAAAGAGGTAAGGTGTAACATGTGTATCAGGTATTTTGAAGACTTAAACACCAGGCTTCTGTAATAATGATTTTGTTTAGTTTAAAATTTTCTAAAAGAAATTCCTTTTTCTAAGCTAACAGTGGAATGTAGAGCAATTATGTCTTACGTAATAGAAAAAAAAATTATATTCACAGGTAACTTTAGACAGCTCTAATATTTATTAAAAAAATTGTTTCAAATAAAGATTATTAACGATCAACTTATATAGTATTTATTAAGATGTAATAACATTAAACCTTAAAAAAAATTTGATGTATGAAGAAAACTATTACTATATTGAAAAGAACAAACTTAGTTCTTAGCCTGCCACGTTCGTGAAAGTAAAACACAGAAGTGTATTTTTTAGATAGTAGCATTTATAATCACAAAGAAAAAAAATTTTAGCCAGTCACATTCATGATCACTAAGTAAATAAAACACAAAAATGTAGTTTTTAGATATTACATTTATAATGACAAAAACAGACAGTTTTAAGATATTACATTTATAATCACAAAAACAGACGGTTTTTAGATATTACATTTATAATCACAAAAACAGACGGTTTTTAGATATTACATTTATAATCACAAAAACAGACAGTTTTAGATATTACATTTATAATGACAAAAAACACAACTTTTAGCTAGTCACATTCTTGATCAATAAGGAAATATAACAGAAATGTAGTTTTTAGCTAGTCACATTCTTGATCAATAAGGAAATATAACAGAAATGTAGTTTTTAGCTAGTCACATTCTTGATCAATAAGGAAATATAACAGAAATGTAGTTTTTAGCCAAGTTTAGTTTGTTGTTTATTGTTTATTGATCAAGTCACATTCTTGATCAATAAGGAAAGAATTTATGAAAATGAAATTCAACATAGCTTTCCACAAAAGTATGTAATTGTTACGTCTCCGCGTGTTAATTAATTTTCCGTAACTTCGTTTCAACGAAACTTTAACGACACAAGTCTT